CTGACCAGTTCCTACAATTGGCCACCAATTTGGCCACAAAAAACGTTTATGGATTTGGTGAGAACGTGCACCAGACCTTCAGACATGATCTTAACTATAGGACCTGGCCACTTTTTGGCAGGGACAAGCCACTTGGTGAAGTATGTGAATTACAACATTTAAAATTTTTATTGATCATAACAGATCATATTGAATCAATATTATTGATCACATTGGGAAGGATAAAAAATTATATATAAGGTAGTTCACGTGAAAATTATTCTGGCAAAACTTTAATAAGTTTTTTGTTATAACACTTAGACAAAATCGGTAAAAAGTATTTTAAACGTCTATTTAATGCAGTTCTTATCCAATTAGTTAAAATTTATAAAACATTTAAAGTCGTTAAAATTACGGGACAAACGCAAAAGTCATATGCACAGGTCAGACCAAAGGTCATAAGTCAAAATAGTTAAACACATCTTGAAAAGGAATAAGTAAACTTTCATTTAAGCTATTGTTCATAAAAATCTAATTGCTTATAGAGCCAGGGTGATATAAAATATGACATAGGATTTCCCATACTAATGACAAAAATTTAGGAAATTATTGAATATTAGTATCTCAATATATGCGACCAATAGTGCAAATAATATTTATGAAAGAATTTAAAAATTATTCCGATTAATAACAGAATGCCAACGTTTTTAAATTTTTGATTTATGCTCAATAATGGACAAAATATAGAATATTCAAACCTGTGCTATTCAGTTATTGATTTGAATAAATTAAAAATTCTTTCGTGTATATAATAACAGAAATTATGTTCACCTTGTTAATAATCCAGGGCACCGAAAATCTCTACGGAGTGCATCCATTCTACACAGTACTGGAAGCCGACGGTAAAGCACACGGAATACTGTTCCTCAACAGTAATGCCATGGGTTTGTGTTGACGTTATTTATGAATTAATTTTTAAAATATTAAATTATTAACTGTCCTTGGTAATAGAATACTCATTTTTGCCGGAACCGGCGCTTTCTTTAAAAACTTTGGGCGGAGTTCTTGACTTTTTCGTGTTTTTGGGCGATAATCCCGAACACGTGATACAGTTGTATACGTCGGTCATTGGACGTCAAATAATGCCTCCCTTTTGGGCGCTCGGGTACCAACTGTGCCGATTCGGGTACACCGGTACCCAAAACGTTAGGGAAGTCATTGACCGCAACTTGAAAGCTAAGATCCCCTTGGTGATTATTTATTTTATTTACTAAAGTTTTTTACATATGTAGCTAGTTAACTATTACGTCACTTACCATAGGATACCATGTATCTCGACATCGACTATATGGATAATTACGAGGATTTCACATACGATAAGAAGGCGTTCGCTGGACTACCGGAGCTGTTCAAAGATACTAAGACCCAGAACCAACTTCACTGGGTCCTGATGCTGGACGCTGCTATAGAGGGAAACAACACGCAGTACCAGACGTTTAAAGAGGGCTACAAAAACGACGTGTTTGTCAAATGGCCTAAAAGTGTGGACCCGAAAGACCGGTTTAATCCACC